TGATTTTAGGGAGAGCATTCCAAGGATTTTTGGATTTGTTTTTCCAGGATTTTCCTGCTGATTTTATGGAGAACATTCCAAGGATTTTGGGATTTGTTTTCCAGGGTTTTGTTGGGAATTTCTTGGTGATTTCAGGGAGAACATTCCAAGGATTTTTGGATTTGTTTTCCAGGGATTTTCCTGGTGATTTTAGGGAGAACATTCCAAGGATTTCTGGATTTGTTTTCCAGGGATTTTTTGCGATTTTCCTGATGATTCCAGGGAGAACATTCCAAGGATTTTTGGATTTGTTTTCCAGGGATTTTCCTGGTTATTCCAGGGAGAACATTCCAAGGATTTTTGGATTTGTTTTCCAGGGATTTTCCTGTTGATTTTCAGGAGAACATTCCAAGGATTTTTGGATTTGCTTTCCATGAATCCATTGGGATTTTCCTGAGGTTTTTATGGAGAACATTCCAAGGATTTTTGGATTTATTTTCCAGGGATCCATGGGGATTTTCTGGATGATTCCAGGGAGAACATTCCAAGGATTTTGGGATTTGTTTCCCAGGGATTTTTTGGGATTTTCCTGATGATTCCAGGAAGAACATTCCAAGGATTTCTGGTTTTGTTTTTCTGGGATTTTCCTGCTGATTTTAGGGAGAACATTCCAAGGATTTCAGGATTTGTTTTCCAGGGATCCGTTGGGATTCTCCTCAGGATTTTAGGGAGAACATTCCAAGGATTTTTGGATTTGTTTTTCTGGGATTTTTCTGCTGATTTTATGGAGAACATTCCAAGGATTTTTGGATTTGTTTTCCAGGGATCCTCTGGGATTTTCCTGGTTATTCCAGGGAGAACATTCCAAGGATTTTTGGATTTGTTTCCCATGGATTTGTTGGGATTTTCCTGAGGATTTTAGGGAGAACATTCCAAGGATTTTGGGATTTGTTTTCCAGGGTTTTGTTGGTATTTTCCTGGTGATTTTAGGGAGAACATTCCAAGGATTTCTGGTTTTGTTTTTCTGGGATTTTCCTGGTGATTTCAGGGATTTTCCTGCTGTTATTCCGGAGAGAACATTCCAAGGATTTCTGGTTTTGTTTTTCTGGGGATTTTCCTGATGATTTTGGGGAGAACATTCCAAGGATTTTTGGATTTGTTTTCCATGGATTTGTTGGGATTTTCCTGATGATTTTAAGGAGAACATTCCAAGGATTTTGGGATTTGTTTTCCAGGGATCCTCTGGGATTTTCCTGCTGATTCCAGGGAGAACATTCCAAGGATTTTTGGATTTGTTTTTCTGGGATTTTCCTGATGATTTTCAGGAGAAGACTCCAAGGATTTCTGGATTTGTTTTCCAGGGATCCTCTGGGATTTTCCGGAGGATTTCAGGGAGAACATTCCAAGGATTTTTGGATTTGTTTTCCAGGGATTTTCCTGATGATTTTCAGGAGAACATTCCAAGGATTTTTGGATTTGCTTTCCATGAATCCATTGGGATTTTCCTGAGGATTTTCAGGAAAACATTCCAAGGATTTTTGGATTTGTTTTCCAGGGATTATCTGGGATTTTCCTGATGATTCTGGGGAGAACATTCCAAGGATTTGGGGATTTGTTTCCCAGGGATTTTTTGGGATTTTTCTGCTGATTTTCGGGAGAACATTCCAAGGATTTTGGGATTTGTTTTTCTGGGATTTTCCTGATGATTTTCAGGAGAACATTCCAAGGATTTCTGGATTTGTTTTCCAGGGTTTTGTTGGTATTTTCCTCATGATTCCAGGGAGAACATTCCAAGGATTTTTGGATTTGTTTTCCATGGATCCATTGGGATTTTCCTGGTTATTCCAGGGAGAACATTCCAAGGATTTTGGGATTTGTTTTCCGGGGTTTTGTTGGGATTTTCCTGAGGATTTTAGGGAGAACATTCCAAGGATTTTTGGATTTGTTTTCCGGGGTTTTGTTGGGATTTTCCTGAGGATTTTAGGGAGAACATTCCAAGGATTTTTGGATTTGTTTTCCGG